GGCTTTTTGATGACCCGATTAGAAGAGTAGTTGCATTAGATTTGGCCTTAGAGAGATAGAGATTGACCTAAAAAGATTAAGATTCACGTAATCAACCTCACGTAGTGGAAGAAAATTTTAATGTTCTTATTGTTGTATCTTAATCACCTTTGAGCTCATCTCATCTTTTGACAACAAAGCCTTAAAAGCAAGTCAAGTGAAAAGATTATAGCAACTTTCAACAAATCACTTACAACACAATTTGTTCATTTCTATAAGAATAGAAAATAATTTTATTTTATTCAGAAAATTAAAGCTTCTCACATGCCTTGACAACCATGCCTTTGAGTGCTCTCCTGGACAATCATTCCCCTAATTTTCTCTTATAAAAAAATATTTGCTTTTTCTTGTCAATAGCCTATGATAATTTAAACACGTGTAGGAAAATTTATTTCTTCAGATTTTCCTCATGATGAAAAATATTAAAAACCTGTTCTCTCTGTCAAGGAGCACCTGTTGAAGAGGACCCAAAGCAAATAATTGCAGGAAGTGGATCTCATAATACCAAATATTTAATCTTGTAGCCATTGCTTTTGCACCACATTGCATGATTTGTCTGTTCCATCTGGACCCCTCAATTAGGAGAAACTGTTAGTTATTCTTAAGCTTTGTATGCATGATTCTCAGTCTTTGAACAAGCCAAAGTTAGGCTGTGGACCACTCCATCTAGAAAAATATTTAGTTCTTATTTGAGTATGTATTATATAAATATATATGAGATTAAATTTTACTTCTTATAAAAGAGAGCGTAAATTTTTTTATTATAAATAATTATGATTTCATCAAGTATCTGTTTAATCGGACTAAGCTTGTTTAATTATTACTGAGCTCAAGCATAAGCTCGTTTATTGTGAAAATCCTTATTTTTTATGACTTTTTTTACCTAGAGCAGTGCAAAATTATTTCAGGAGTCATTATAACTTCAAATCACAAACCATCATTGTCGTAGAATAGATATTAATGTATTTTAGCTTCCTTAATTTTTTCATAATTTTTGGACAATATTGAAATTTCTTTAAAAAAATTGGTACCTATCGGTTCAAATGTGATTTTTTGGACCGTCAGGTATTTATTTTGCAAATTGATTTCATCAGAATTTTTTAAATAAAATTAGTTATTTTATAAATATTTTTCTATGATTTTTAAAATCTTTACAAGAATTTCTATAAATTTTATGCTGAAAATTGATAATAATAATATTATTATATTATTATTATATTTGTTGCGTCCAGGAGTATTCGCGGTGGTAGAGAAATATTTAGTTTAACGTTTTAGCGTTGTACGAAAATCCGGTACGCAATCAGATAAGAAGAGAGGGTCTGGCATTTATGAGACACCAAGATTTTTACGTGAAAAATCCCTGTAAAAGGGGGAAAAACCACGGGGCCTAGCCCAGTTTGAACGAATCCACTAGTATTTGCAGTCGATTACAAATGAGGCCCTCCCTTGAGAGAAGGCCTTAGCTTGATGTACATCTTATGGAGTACATTACATGATGTAAATACAAAGAGCTATTATCGACGTATTCGCTTTGTTAGAAGGACTGTAGTCGGCGTGCGACGTAGGTCAGGAGGACCGTAGTCAACTGGCGGCGAAGGACTGTAGTCGGCGGGCGACATAAGTCAGGAGGACCGTATTCAAAGGGCGATGGATGTCGGAAAGACTGTAGTCGGCGGGCGACGTAAGTCAGGAGGACCGTAGTCGGCTGGCGACGGAGGTCGAAAGGACTGTAGTCTGACGACGAAGATCAGTAGGACAGCGTCAGGTAGAAGTCCAGCAATGAAAAGAAATGCATCTTCGCATAGACGTCCAGCGGAGTCCGATAACCGGTAGAAGTCCGGCGTCGGGTAGAAGCTTGGCGAAGAGTGAAGGTCCGACGTCGGGTAGAAGTCCGACGTCGTTGGTGGCAGAGGAGAACTCTGGCTTCACTTGGGCGGAGTTTCGGCGTCATGAGGGAATTCTCTTGTAAATTGGGAAGAATTTCAGCATCCCATGGAAGTTGGGCAGAATTCTGGCGTTCTCCCGAAAATCCGGCAGAGTTCCGGTGTCTTCAGGCGGCAGGAAGAGCTCCGGCGGTGGTCGAGGAGGTGAGGAATCTCCTTTTCCCCTTTCTCCTCTCCTTCCTCTCTCTCTTCACTTGAGCCCCCCTTGATGTAGAATGAGGGCTCTATTTATAGTTTTTCTGGAGTGGCATAGCCCGTAAATAGGCGTGAGATCAAGGGCGAATTGGGAGTGATCCGAATGGACGGCCGATATCGAATCCTTCGATCATGCACCGTTCGTTGGACATTTGAAGGCCTTAATGATTTCGGAATTTGATGATCTTGGGCTCGTTGGATTCGTCTCGTCGAGCCGTTCGATTCGAGTATAAGCTCGTCAAAATCGGAGACCGTTTGGTAACTCAAATTGCGGTTTGAACCTCCCAACAGCGCTTCGAACCTTTGATTCGGACTCATTTGGGCTTGGATTAGGTTGATCTTGGAATCGTTGGGTTCGTATTTTCGAGACGCTCAGTTTGACTATAAGCTCGCTGAAATCGGAGTTCATATGCTCCCAAAATTAATTTTTGAAGTTTCCGAACTGATTTTGCCTCGAGATTCGTGCCCAATCAAGATAATTTTGTGATGACGTATCAAAGATGAAGACATTTCTTCTCTCTTAAATTTATTATTCCATTGGCTCTTCCTTTTCTCCATGCTCTCTTCACTCTTTTTTATTATTCTCTTTTTCCATAATTAGTAACTTTGAAAATAGTTTAGCAAGTCAAAGTAATATAGAACTCTCTAAAAAGCCTCAGCATGAGTTGAAACAAAATGGACAAACACCATGCAAACAAAATAGGATATCAAAATTTAAAAGTTCTATTTGGATAGCATGCATCAATGTACATAGATGAACCAACAACTACTTGATTTTCAATAACAAGGACTACATACGTACATCATTGCACACGGCTATTTGGATAGCAGTGTTAAAGATCACTGACAGTTCTCATTCAACACAACGTCATTTCACAAATTAGTAAATACGCTATGTTATAAGACAACATAATCTCCACATGAATTTTCATACAATAAAAGTATGAAAGATTCCAACCTCATACATACGAAAGCAAGTTGAAGTAGATCACAATATAAATAGAGAGTGATAACATAGCCAGGATATGCTGCCAGAATAACAGAGCTGAAGCTTCCTTTACAGCATAACCCCTCAAGCTTGCGATTGCTCCCAACAAGATAGCACTTGGCATTGTATACTGCAGCAGAAGAACAAATCTGTACATCTGACCTTCTTCTAGCAAAAGATGTAACTTATCCGCCAAAGCCACTACCCCTATTCCAATAAATGGCACGTAAGTTTAACACACAAACAGAAAAAAGGGAGTGAACACTAAGAGTTTTTACGTGGAAAACCCAAAAATGGGAAAAACCACGGGGCCTCGCCCAGTTGCAAATTTCCACTAGTGTTTGCGTAGATTACAAATGGCGGATTTCTTCCCACAAGTCGGGATAATCCAAATACAACTTGTCTCTTCCACGAAATTCACAAGATCCTGCGAATTCCCTGTGTTTTCTGAAAATCCGGCAGAGTTCCGGCGTCTTCAGGCGGCAGGAAGAGCTCCGGCGGCGGTGGTCGAGGAGGTGAGGAATCTCCTATTCCCTTTCTCCTTCTCCTTCTCTTCTTCTTCTCTCTCTTCACTTGAGCCTCTTTGGTGTAGAATGAGGGCTCTATTTATAGTTTTTCTGGAGTGGCATAGCCCGTAAATAGGCGTGAGATCAAGGGCGAATTGGGAGTGATCCGAATGGACGGCCGATATTGAATCCTACGATCGTGCACCGTTCGTTGGACATTTGGAGGCCTTAATGATGTCGGAATTTAGTGATCTTGGGCTCGTTGGATTCGTCTCGTCGAGCCGTTCGATTCGAGTATAAGCTCGTCAAAATCGGAGACTGTTTGGTAACTCAAATTGCTGTTTGAACCTTCCAACAGCGCTTTGAACTCTTGATTCGGACTCATTTGGGCTCGGATTGGGTTGATCTTAGTGTCGTTGGGTTCGTATTTCCGAGACGCTCAGTTTGACTGTAAGCTCGCTGAAATCGGAGTTCATATGCTCCCGAAATTAATTTTTGAAGTTTCCAACAAGTTCTTGCCTCGAGATTCGTGCTCGTCAAAGATAATTTTGGGATAACGTATCAATATTATTATATAAAAACAAAATATCTTAAATCACTTAGGCTCCCTATTCTGTGCTCATTTCATTTCCAGTTTTCCACCAAGTGAGAAACGGCTACCATAAGAAAAAATATAAATAGGGAAAAAGAGAGGAGAGAGGAAGGAAAAAATTAGGTTTTGGATGACTTCAAGGTTTTTTCGTTTGGGCCGCCCAGTTGGAAAATTTCTGTCTCGACATAGGTCACATTAGGCCTATCTTAATTTTAAAAAATACAAAGTTTTAATGTAATTTTTTGGATCAAAATTTTGTTTATGTTAGAGAAAAATAAAATTTTCACCACATAATTTTTTCTATTTGAGATGCCTCCTTTAATTTACTTGTTTTTTTATTCTTTTGAACATTGCTTTTTTACTTCAACTTAATTTTTATTTTTTTATAATATTAAGTTATAATTTTTTTTTAATTTACAATATGAAAGAAATTGAGCTCTGATCCTAATCTTAAAAAAAAAGTAAGTTTTTTTTTAAAGTTGAGTCTCTCCAATCCTCTTCGAATTCGAACGCACACGTCACCCCGATGCACTAGGATAAGGATGATATGAAGCATCCAGATTAACCTCCAAATGAATCGGAACACGGGACTTAATAATTTGCCCTAATCCTTCCTCATCTATTAAGCTCCATCGTACGCATAACTGGCCCCACACACCATTCCTTGTCTCCAAAACCCTATCTCACACTTTAAATAAACCTCAACCCCCTTGATCTTTTCTAACCCCTCACCCATTCCAATCCCAAAACCCTTAAAACCCTACCTCGCAATGCTTCCCTTCTTCCCCCTCTTATCCCTTCTTCTCATCTCCCTACCCCCACCCACCTTCTCTCAATACCCTCCATCAATACTAACCATCGTCAACAACTGTCCCTTCACCATCTGTCCAGCCATCGCCCCCAACTCCGGCCACGACGTCCTCGAACACGGCGGCTTCTGCCTCCCCACCCTCTCCCACCGCTCCTTTCCCGCCCCAACTCACCACTGGTCCGGCCGCATCTGGGGTCGCACTGGCTGCACCCACACAGGCACCCATTTCTCCTGCGCCACTGGCGACTGCGGCAACCGCCTCGAATGCTCCGGCTTCACCGGCGCCACCCCCGCTACCCTCGCCCAACTCACACTCCACCACGGCGGCCACCGCGACCTCGTTTCCTACGCCGTCAGCCTCGTCGACGGCTTCAACCTCCCCATGACCGTGACCCCTCACGAAGGCCGTGGTCTTTGTCCCGTTGTCGGTTGCCGTGAGGATCTACTCTCCACTTGCCCGCCGGAGCTGCAGGTTAGGTTTCCGGCCGGAGGGTCTGTGGTTGGGTGTAAAAGCGGGTGCGCCGCCTACGGAACGGATGAGTTGTGCTGCCGGAACATGTATAACAGCCCAAAAACTTGTCGGGCTTCAACCTACTCGGAGTTTTTTAAGCATCATTGCCCGGCGACGTTCACTTATGCTCATGACAGCCCGTCTCTCACGCATGATTGTGAGGGACCAAAGGAGCTGAAGGTTATATTCTGCCATTAATGGCGATGGCTTTCAAGCCAAAGCTTCTTCTTCTACGTGTTGTTTGTGGCGTGGTTTGTTTTGTTGGTGTGTTTGTGTTGTGGGTTTAATAAAATGTGGTTTCTTGTAGGATTAGGAAGCTTTGTAGCAGAAATTTTGGCTTGTTTACCAAGTTTTATTATTATTGTCGAGCTCCTTTGTTTTAGATGAAAACACGTGTCGTGCAGCGGTGATATAGGTGGCGAGGTTGTGAACGGGTGTAGTTTGGTGTGCGTGTCTGATTGGCTGATTGGTGCTTGTCGGAGGCCGTACAGCTTTTGTGGAAAGAAGAGAAAGGTGCGTGTTGCGCGTGGCAGTAAAAAGTAGATAGGAGGATAGAGAATGCTGGAGAGAGAGGAGGATCGCTGCATGGCAGCACCGCAGCACTGCCAGCACCGCAGCACTGCCAGCACGGGCCTGATGGGCGTTAGAGGAGAGAGAGAGAAAGAGCGCTCTGTGAGACCCTAGAAGCTAGCGTTACGACCATTGGTAAAAACAGCCTCATTCGAAATGGATAATATTGTTACAAAGTTATAATTATTTGCTCTAATTATTAAATGAATTAAATCATTATATTTAAATATTAATATTATTATTTAGATAATTATATTCCGATTTATAAAGTAATTTAAGATATCTGAAAAAAATATCTCATAATGTGATGAAAATAATTCAATGATTGAGAAAATAGAAGTTAAGATATTTTGGTCTGGAGCATTTCCTAATTTTTTTAAAAAATGTGTAGTTGATGTAATTGTGAAAAATATTAGGGGTTGTTTAAAAATTGGGTGTATTTTAAATATAATGTACATTTAATATTTAATATTTTATAGTGCTTGATTATTTGTAAATAAGTTCAATAGTTCTAATTTATTATGTTTGGTTACTTAACAGTTTTTTTTAGAGCATATTATATGTTAGGAGTGCAAATGTGATGTTGTGAGGATTGTGGTGATGATGGTTGAGAGGTTGTTGGTGTTGTTGTGTGGATTTAGACATGCCACATCATTCAATACACGTTGCATGAGTGATGATAGTGATGGTGGTCAAGGCAAGATTGCAGCAAGTCGTAAAAGAGGGTTCTAATGCTATGTGACTGATGTCCATGTGCACAGTGCATTGGATGATGTGGCGTTCAGACTCCTCATGTAATAATCTCTCCAAGAAAGGAGCAAATCAAGTCCCGAGTGATAGAAATCTGACCTAGGAGTGGTCGAGAGATTGTAACAGGCTTAATGTGGATTGTGGAGTGCAATAAGTGAGTTTCAGTGTATGGTGAATTTTTGAATTTCTAAATCATTAAAATATTTTTAGTGTACAGTAAAAATGAACTAATTATTAGTTTTAAATTTTCTCAAAAAATATTTTCATTTATATTTAAGCCAATTAAACATTTAAATTTTTTAAATCTCTCCATTTAAAATATAGTAAACTCAAACTATTTTAACCAATCAGTACATATATAGGTAAGTTTTATTCATAGAAAATGATAGAAATAATATTTTTTATATAAGATCAATTAAATATTGATTTAGGCTTTCTTTCATCTTTTTTTTTTTTTTTGGGTTTTATGATTTTTTCAGAAACTTTTTTCCTTAAAAATGTTTGTTGTTTAAATTTTTTAAATTTTCGTATAAGGTGCTTCTACTTATTTTTAAATTGTTACAAATATAAAAATAAGCATATTTATATAAATAAAATTATATAAAAATCATTAAAAAAATTTAGTCTTTACGGAAAATTTCTCAAATTTAAACATTCCCTTCAAAAAATTTATGTAAGACCTACTTTTATAGTTTCGATACGTTTTAAATCTCTTGATTGGATTTATACATAACAAATAATTAATATATTTTTAGCTTTAGATTTGAAAAGTCACCATCCATCAAGTACAAATTTTAATATTATTTTTTAAATTATAAAAATTTAAGATTAAATTCATAATCATCCTATCCTTATTTTAATAAATTTATAATTAAAATAAATATCTTGATGAGATAAATCCAATGATACTAAAAGTACGTAATATAACTTGAATCCAAACTAATGGCCCAAATTAAGCATATAAAGCATAATTAAAAAACTTCGAGAGATTAATTAATGGATCCAATGATTTCTTAATCTTTTATGTTTATAGTAAAATCGAGCATCTCGACAAGAGAGATCCAACGAACCCCAAGATCTTTGAATTTTTAGGTCATTAATGTGCTTAAATGTTTAAAAAATAAAGTATAATAACAAAATTAATGCAGTTCATTCGATGGAATATATTGTAAATTTTGGAATATATGGACGATGCACGTTATTGATTCTATTGTTAACACCTGCCAACTTTGTCGCTCGTCGTTGCTAATAACTTTGCTTCTTCGATGCACATTATCTCCATAAAGTTGATGCACGTCATTGACAAAAACACAGACGAGTTCATTGACAAAAACACAGACACTCAATGATTTTATCACTTGTCATCGTCAATACATATTATCACATATAAGACTTCTACATACTGTCAACTACAGTTTCAACTCCTAACAAATTACACGTTCTAACTTCATATGGTCACAAAATTTGCTCTATGATGGTGTTGAATAATCAAATCAATTAAGCTCCAAATAATAATAGACCTAGCAATTGATCACTTTTTTTTAATAACAATACAATAACACTATGAAACATATGATTTCTTTCTATTACATAAGTAAATTTCTCAAACAAAACAAAAAAATATATGAAAAATTATAAATTATATATATAAAGTAAGAAACATTCATCAAAATCATTAATAGCATAAAAGACATCCAAGAAAAATCATAGATTCATTTGCCTAGATAAGCAGATAAATAAAATAAAATTTTTAATAAGCCAGACCATTAAAGGATATCAACCTATATAACTTATCATAAAGAATTAAAACTTATCACCAATAGATAAGCATCTTAACAAATGTTACCACAATAGCAGGATAAAAACTATGCATTGCTTATCAACAAGGCCAAAATTAGTTAGGAAATTTTTTACCTACTAAATAACATAGATATATTTATATAGACATTATAAATAACTACAATGAAAATATTCATTATAGATATTTATTTATGATAATGGATCTTATAATTATTTTCGAATAAATTAAATAGTTTTAATTTCATTATATTAATTAAATTTAAGATTTTTATCTGGGACGCAACAAAAGTATTTTCCAACAAATTTCTTAACTGCACGATATGATTTTTTTTTTACAAAATAAAATTTGATATTTTAAATGATTAAATTAAATTAAATAAATAAATAACAAAATTTTTGTGTTGCAATGAAAGATAAGTTAAATTTTATGACCTCATAAGCTCCGATCACAGGACGGATTGGTAAGGCCGCTCCGCCTCTACATCGTCCTTACGTGCACGCTGAGCGGCCGCAATCGCCGCCTTCTTCACCGCCATTATTCGTCTCTTCCTTCCTACTTTTATCGAGATCGCTGGGCATGGCAGCGCCGAGCCAAGCAAGTTTGCTCCTTCAGAAGCAGCTGAAAGGTTCGCGTCGATCTCTAGGGTTTCCTGAATTCCCCGTGTATCGCTCCCTTGGAGGATTGTTTTCGAGGATTCCTCATTCTTTTATTTTTCTGTGATCAGATCTTAGCAGAAATCCGGTGGACGGCTTCTCTGCTGGTCTTGTTGACGATTCTAATATCTTTGAATGGAGTGTCACCGTGATCGGGCCGCCGGATACCCTCTAGTTAGTGATTTCTTTTGAAATTTAGTTTCTTTAAGTGTTTGGGGTTCTTCATTACTATTAAATTGATTGGTTTGGCGAAATATTGCATGGTCATGTTGGGTGCTCATGTTATTATTGGAAAAGGGGACATTTTCCCTTCTTTTGGGATGATCTGTATGTATTTTGATATTTATGAGGAGGTAAATGTTGAAATTGGTTTAATTTATTTAAAAATAGCAATTCGTTAAGTTTATGTAATAAAAATTTGTTTTCTTGAATGGAGATAAAAGTAAACGCTGGGTCCTCTTCTTCTATTTGTTGATTGCAAATCTTCTGACAACAATTTTCTTTTCTAAAATGCCTTAATTTAATAGGGAGTAAAGGAAGCTGGGATCAGTAAGGGAGATATTATGCAACCAATATTTATTAATTATTTTTATCTTGTTATAATTGAGAAGTGAGAGGAAGATATTATCCAACCACTATTGATTAATTATTTTTATCTTTTTATAATTGAGAATTGAGATGCATGGATTGTAATGCAATTGCTGGATTATTTAATCAAACTTTGGATGTTGATTTAATTATAAGTTCAAAGAACCTTAAGGGGTCTTTCAGGTGATATTCCTTGTGCATGCTTGTTTCATATTTTTGAGATTTTGTTTTGAAGATTTTACTTTTGATGAAACTAATGAGGTTCTAGCACGATATAATAATCTGAAAAATCTCTTTGTTTTCATGGCTTTGATAATGATGTGAATCCAATTGTAATTAGCATAATAGATGTATATGATTAGAGAGAGATTAGCTTGTGTGAGCCAATAAATACCCCAATTGGAGGGTATGCCGGCATGATGAAATGAATGAATTTTCCCTCTCTCCATATAGTTTCCTTTTCTTTTCTTTTGGGAGTGATGAACAGCTCGAAATGTTTAGTGGGGGGTGGGGGGGGGGGGGGGGGGGGGGGGGGGGGGGGGGGGGGAATGCCTTCATTTCATCATGCCCTCATACTCGTTAGTTGGAGTATATGTGTGCTCACAAAGTTCACACAAGCTAGACACTCTCCAAATTAACCATACATATCTATTAGGCTAATTATAATTAGCTTCACATCAGATAATGTTAGCAATGAAGGTGACCATGCACGTTAAAGGTAAAAATTGTAGGGTTTGAACATGAAAATATTAGTTGGCTTGTAGGGTAAACACTAGTTTAGTGTTAGGGAATTCAAATTGTCCGGTTAGAAGGGGACCCTCCCATGCTGCCCAACATAAAGATATATGGACGTCACAGAGTTGTGTGATTTTTTTCTTTTTCATGTGGATGAGTACAAATTATCATATTGCCAATAGAAATGGTGTTTATTTGTAGTTTTCCATGTAGATACTAGGGTTGTTCAGTTAGAACTTAGAAGTGATAGAAAACTTAGGAGAATGTTTTGCATAATTATGGAGGCTTATCATCTGAATTAGTAAATTTTAGATTATTGTGGCGTTCAAAGTTGGAAAATTTTCTGATTCTCCAATGAATTATGAAAGCTTCTCCTGTAAGATGATTATTTTTCATTGAAGCTCAGCTGATGACAAACTGATGAAGTATTGAAGTAGGATCATTAAATTGATATTCATATGAGGTAGGCCTGTATTTTGTGCTTTATATGTGGAAGTTGTGTAGAACTTAATCTATAATTAGGCATTTATTTTTCTTGGCATTCAATGTTTTAAGGCTATGGAGCATGAAGGAAAGCACAATATAGAGTATTGGGAACTAGAAGTTTCGCGGATATAAGATATTGGCATTAGATATTGATAATATTTGTATATAACTATACATGGTTATGAAATGTATATGCATATTATAATTTAATAGCATAGACAATAGAGGAAGCGTCTAATCACTAAATTATGCATGCAACTCAATGAAAAAACAATTATATCAAATAACAGAACTTGAAATATTCATTTTTAACTAAGAATGCCACATAGTGGCGGAAGGGCAATGGGAAAGGGAGATAATGGTAGGATGTTAATGAGATTCTTAAATGTAATGCTATATTTTGAAGTTCATTTTAAATTTAACTCTTGAGATATGTCAAATAACGTGCCCAACAAGTTGCCTTGAGTGCTCAAAATAAATTATAAATGGCAACCCTCAAGAAACTTCGTGCATATTTTCCTGATTTACTTGTTGCTTTGAAAATATTGGACACAGTTGGTGTTTTTTCATCATATCATTTGTTTATTTTTTAATTAGGGCTGGACTTTTAATAAAATTTTATAGAATGCACTATGGACATTCTTGTGTGTTTATTGGTCTTTGTCGTTGCAGTGATGGTGGTTATTTCAACGCAATTATGAGCTTCCCACAAAATTATCCTAATAGTCCCCCAACAGTTAGGTTTACTTCAGAGATGTGGCACCCAAATGGTTAGTTCTCTGTCAATTGCTTTTGTTTATAAAAAAATATTTTGATAGCATAATAACACTTATAAATTTTTACTTATCCATCAGTTTACCCCGATGGTCGTGTTTGTATATCAATCCTTCATGCGCCTGGAGACGATCCCAATGGTTATGAGCTTGCAAGTGAACGTTGGACTCCTGTACACACGGTACATCACTGGTTGGCAAATCCTATATTAATCTTTGCAACTAGAATATCTTTAATTTAGGAAGCCTTATCCTTTTTTGTGTTTCCATTCCATTTCAATTATTTGTTCTTATTTTTTCCTCTTTTGTTTCTATTGCGATAAGGTTGGAGATGTCTACAACATGAAAGGTTACTGATTTCCAGATTATTGTCTATGTTGTGATAAGGATGAAATATAACTAAAATGCATCACATTATTGTTGATCCCTATATATGTCTCTTTTATAACGATAAGTCTCTGTTTGTTTCAAATGTCTCAAAAAGTGCAAAAATGCCCTAAAGAAGCTCCCCCTTGTCTTTTGTGTAGCAGACATGCGGTAGCTTTCAAATTGGCTTGAGGCCTACCTTGTGCTAGCATGTGATAGGTTGTATGCTAATCTTTCCAATGGCCAATTTTTTCTTACTTAAAATAGGCCATGTTATGGGGCCCATTTCATTGGCTTTACCCTACTTCATTAGTTGAGCCCCTCCACCCTTCATTGAGGTTAGTCTCATATTACCAATTGGATCTCTCTTTGCCTCTTTCAAGTCTACAAATACCAAGGGAGAGGCTTGTATGCCATGCAAATGAAAGAAGGGCTCCTAGCTTATGACAAGGCATTGCTAGATTCTTGTTACTAGCATCTACAAAAGTGAGGTCATCTCTCCTACTCTTTTTCTTATTTGTCAGCTCCTCAATGTTGCAGATCATTGATTTGTGAGTGGTGTAATATGCCTTCTCATATAACTAAGTGCTAGTGACATCATCGAGGCACACCTTTCTTAGCATAGTTGGGAGGATCCCTTATGCCTAGGTGCCGTGCCTTTTTTTGGCATGGTGGAGTATATTTTTCCCGATATTTCATGCACCACCCATGCACTTTTCACATGGCAAGTTAACCCAATTGCTCCCCGCTATTGATTTCATGTGGGTGATGGGAAGCGTTAATGAAAATTTTGATAAAATTATAACTTGTTTGAAAATTGTACGTTGGATAATGGGTGCTTTTCCAGTACAAACACTGGATCCTAGGAACATGGACTTAATAAAAAAACAGTGAACTTGAATGGAAAAATGCACTAAATTCACAAAATCTTTAAAAAAAAATTAGAACTTGAACTTGTGCAAACTTGTTCCTAATCAAGTTGTAGGGGAGATTGAGCATTACTCTCATTTTCTCCTATCAAACCATGAAACCCTTGTCTAAAACTGGCTTATCTTTATTTGGGTACATGTGATGAACCATAGGGCCTTTGGAGTACAAGAGTAGAAGATTCCCTAAACCTCATCAGAAATCCTATGAAAAGCAGATGTGCATCCTATTATGTATAGTAGGTTCCAATACCAATAGTTAAAAGGCAATCTTTTTAGTGTTTGTAATTTAACTCTAATCATTTTATGACACTCGGCAATCCCTTAATTCTAAAGTTGAAAGGATGTAGCACAAGCTAATTTGCTCAGTAAGCATCACATTAATGCAAGATTTGATTAGATTGCTATTTTTGTTAGAAGTCTCCTTGATTTATTTGATATTACCAAAATATAATGGAAATTACAAAATGCAAATAATTGCAAAATGTTTAGAAACACAAAAAATAAGGAAATTCAAGAAAAGAGGACAGATTTTACAAATTTTAGGAAAATGTTTATGTGCCTCAATGCATTTCTAAGTTTTTTTATAGGTATGTAGCCCTTATTTTCTCTTTCAAAAATAATAGAAAAAAATCCAAAGATTCCAATAAATGGGTAAAAATATCAAGAAGATGTTGAAATTTTTCGATTTGATCCTTCCCACCTAGAAAGCAAAGCGGGCATGATTTGTAACTTGGCTGACTTCATAGTAAAGCTTCATTTCTCTGGATCTTATTGAATTGATTATTCCATTGAAGACAAATACTTTAATTGGCCATAGTTGTTCAGGCCATGCAGATAAGGTTCTTAAGCTTTCTCCATTTATTTGACAAACATGAATGGCTTATTGACAATGAGAAAAGCAATTCCAAGAAAAAAAATTGATAGAAATGTCATAATGTAACCTAATCTTTTGCCTCTCGAAGGAGAAGTTGATATGATTTAAAGCTTGATAGATTTTATTTGTAAAATGAAGCTTCATTCCCTTTGATTTGATCAAACTTGCTATTTTATTGAGGACTTGAATCACTTTAGTTAGCTGCGGTTGATCAAGTGATGTGAGTAAAGATCATGTGGCGCATCCTCAATTGTTCGACAATTATTGTAAGAATAAGAAGGGATTAGTGAGGAATACCTTTCAATACTTCTTGATTGAAACCTTTGTTGAAATTCGAATTTCTCTACTCAAATTAGACTTGTTCTCTCTTAGTATTCGGGTTTTTAAATCAATCATCACTTTCACTCTAATCTTCACAAGTGCTTCTTCCTGTGATTGAGCTTCCAATAGTTGCAATAACCTATATTCAAAATTGTTGGAGCAAATTTTCCCAGTCACTAATGTTTAAGTGGAAAAAACAACAATAGGGATGACAATGACAACAACATGGGAGTCAGGGAATGGAGAAGATTCCTGCTTGGCTTGGCTGTCGCAATTCAGAGGCAACATGAAGTAGAGGAGAGGGAAAGGGAAGGAAAAATTAATATGTAGCATCATTTGGTATTTATATAATCCATACTCAAAGCCACGTAATAGCTATACAATGTGAAAATAATAATCGGAGTAACCGACCTACAATTGTCAAAAATTAAATTCTATTAGGTTAGTTACAAAGATAAATAACAAGCAAACACTGGTAACAAGAATATAAAACCATGCTAACAATCTTAAGATTGGTTTTGTATCAAGCTTACTCATCCTTGAACTACCTTCAACATTTTCAAAAAATAATGAAATTTGTTTGTAGGCAATATATTTGTTAGCATGTTTGTAGTATTGTGATCTATTAAAATTTTTATGATATAATCAATTCCTTGATCATCACATCCTTAATGAAATGGAATTTTACCTCCACATGTGATGAGTACATCGTCAGCAATTTCGACACGCGTACCATCGGAGACACCGGAGATCGACGGCCATGAGCAGGAGCTTTATTTTAAGTCACTTTATGTAGTAGTTTATTTTATTTTTCAGTTTTTCCATTTTTACCCTTATGGGTATTTGGTCGCTATTGTAGCCCAAGGGGCATTGTAGTCTTTTGTTTCCTTTGTCATGTTGAGACCTATATATAGTGGTCTCATGCTTTGTAAAAGGTTAATGAATATTTTGAATAAAAATTATGTTTTGTTTCCACTTCTTCTTGCATGAGAGCTAGAGAAGGGAGAGAGCTCAAGGGGAGCAAATCGCAAGGCCCACCAGTCGTAGGAAGAGTCAGCGGCTCGTGGTTAAGTTCGTTTCCATTCTATCGGTGCTTCTTTCATCCTCATCCAACACCAAATTCCCCTCCCGTCTATTCCCAATTCGAACCCCAATTTCATCCCGCCGACAACCTAAGTGAATCTACCGCCGGCCTCTCCCTTAGCCGCCGGCCACACTAAAGATAGGCACCTGGGCCTTGTATGAGAGTTTAGCACTTTCTTGTTAGAAAGAATCATTGTAAAGGAAGTGGAGGACTCACACACTCTTCTAAAAAAGGGATAAGGAGAAGGCATAAACTTTTCTTTCAAAATATATGTTTATGATATCTTCAATTTAGATCCACCAATAAAACTCTTTGTGATGATTTTTAAAAAGATAATTAGTAAATTTGAAATGAAGTATAATGGGAGACTTGAACTTTTTTTTTTTTGGTTAGCATAAAGTAAAGATAAAGGGAAGAACAATTTCTTAGCCAATCGAAGTATATTTAGAGCACCTTAGAAATGAAATGGATAATTGCTAAACTAGTGGAGTACACCAATGAGTGTTCCTCAAATACAGTTAGAATAAGGACTTCTAAAGAAAAAATCGTATTGATAAAAGAAATTTAGGAGGAAAGATATTGATCATTTACATTACTTTGAAATACTAGCAGACCAGATACGTTATTAGGTGTTTTAGTTGGTGCTAGATTTTTAGTTGAAACCAAAGGAATCAGCATCTGGACTGCTTTAAGAAAATTTAAGATATTCTTTGGAAACCTCACACATAGGGATTAGTATCATAGCATAACTATTCATGTTGGAAATCATTGATTTTTGATTCAAATTATTACAAGAGTAGGGTTGATCAAAAAAGTACTTTGGAACTTGTCCAATTTATATAAAACTCTTTAGTTTCTTGTCTTGCAAAAATAGAATTCAAGTGGCCCCTTGTACAACTGAAGTAGAAATATATTTGCCCTTAGTGAGGTTATGTGGCACAGGTATGTTTAGTTAATAAATAATGATTTGACTTCAGGATTTCATTGACACTATTTACAATTTTCTATGATAACATAGAGTTGTCAATATGCATATTCAAAGGAATCATCTATTCAATGTTAGAATCAAGTATTAAATATAAGGAAATCAGCTCATTAGAAATCATATGGCTAAGGGAGGAGAAATCAAAATTACATCATGTTCTACTGTGAATATCAAACTTTCAGACATTTTACAAAAACTATTAGCTTTTTGAAATATTTAGACTTTAAAGACCTGAGATTAAAGATGATATTGATCTAATGCTTAAAATTGAATTTCTGCAAAATTGATTTGTATTGTATTGATGTGTTTAATTATTTTTCTTAGTTTATTTATAGGGTTTTTGTTGTATTTCTAGTTTTTCATTTCTTTGTTTTATTTGTTTTTTGTGTATTAGTATGATTTTTGCTTTTGGGTTTTTAGTGTTTGTTTTTCAATAGATTTTGTGGTGAATTATTTTAAAAGAGTTTTTTATTTATATCATGTCCTGAGTGGTCGTTTCCTTCATATTATAATGAAGGTTTTCCATACTGTATGAATTATGTAGCATGTTACGATGGTTATTTTTGTGAGTTGAAAGTGAGAGACATAAATTTAAATGCATATTATACTATATGATGTCATCATCATCTGTAACATCATTGATTTTTTATCTATACGATTGTGACATTTTTCAAAAATGTCCAGTTTTGAAACAATCG